CCACTCATCCACTGATCCATCAGCAATGGCCCCACCATTATTGTCCAGCGTCATTTCGTAGGGCAACACCAGCTGGGCCCAGGAGGAGGTAGTGGATCTCCTCACTATTTGGGAAGGGGTTGAGAGCCAGTATGGACTCCATTCAAGCCACAAAAACCTAGCAGCCTTTGAATGGGTCACTGCAGAAATGGCAGCCCGTGGACAGAACCATGGTTGGGCTCATTGTTTCTGCAAGTGCCAGGTACTGAGCCAGTGATTCAAGAAAACATGCCATGCCAACCGTGTTTCCATTACATGCACGGTGATGTGTACCAGACCCACAGCCTCACAGGTACGGCATAATGCATGCCCAGACACACAGTGGACAGATTGTACATAATCCCCAAAAGTGACATGGAGTTTGATGCTGCCTTAGTCAAAAGTTTGTAGCCCTCCCAGATGACCACAGTGACAACCCAGGAGATGTGCCATTTCAAGGACTCAAAGGCCTTCATGGACAACAGGCTCCAAGAAAGTTTCATTGCTTTATTTCCAGGATATATAGAGAAGCAAGCGTCTCATGTGCGTTTAACAGTTGTATTCTCAGGAGTACCCTGAAAGTGGTACAGACATACCCTGTGTGCTATTTGAAAATTACAGCCCCAAATTTCATCACCTACCAAATGGGCTTGCCTTTGTGTTCCTTGAATACAAAGTGATGGTTGACGTGGTATAAAAGAGAGGACCCCAGAACATGTATTTCTTAGCTTGTGGTCAATCTGGTATTCTCATTTCATGAATGAGAAGAGATGATGAGAAGCATGGCACTTTATACCCCTAGGAAAGTGCGTACTTTTTGTCTGTTATCTTGTTTGCATATCATAGTAATATATACCACTTTTCCTCTATAGATCTCTAAGCACCTTACATTCCCATGGGGGACTTCAATCCCCCAGACATCTGCTGGGAGGGCAATACAGCAGTGCACAGGCAATCCAGGAAGTTTTTGGAGCGTGCACAACTTGCTACTGCAAGAGTTGGAGAGGCCAACTAGGGGCCATGCTCTTTTTGACCCGCTGGTCACAAACAGGGAAGAATTGGTGGGGAATGTAGTAGTGCATGGCAACTTGGGCAGCAGCAACCACGAGATGATTGAATTCAGGATCCTGAGGAAAGTAAAGGAGAAGAGCAGCAGATTAAGGCCCCTAAACTTGAGAAACATAGACTTTGACTACCTCAGGGAATTGGTGGGCAGGATATCCTGGGAGGCCAGTCCAAGTGGAAAAAGGAGTTCAGGAAAGATGGCTGTATTTTAAAGAAACGTTATTGAGGGTGCAGGAACAAACCATCCAGGTGCACAAGGAGACTAACAATTATGGCAGAAGACCAGCTTGGCTTAGCAGAGAACTATTTGGTGAGCTAAGACGCAAAAAGAAGCTTATAAGATGCGGAAATGTGGACAAATGACTAAAAATGTGGACAAGTGACTTCTTGCTCTTCAGCAACAAGAAGTCAAACAGGTCTTCCTGCTCCTGCTGACCTACCACAGCCTCCCACTCATACCAAAATATTTGCATGGCTGGCTCACCCACACCCAGTGCAGACCACATAGCTTCTTAGTCAGTCACACTCATCTCTCTCCTTCCCTCCTGGCCTTTTCCAACCGACCCAACCAGATGTCCCGCAGATTTATCATGCTCTGATGCATCTTAGCCCCATTTACATCTAAAGTCACTATCATTACCTGGGGACTCAGGGATACTGGTTCAGGATCAGCTCTCCTTGACTTGAGAGGCTCTTGGGCACTTCCCTTCAGAGGAAAGCAACACAGTGTGGGGCTCCAGCTCCTTTAACCCTCCATTCAACCAAGCAGCAATTCTGGGCCACCTCTCTAGCCCAAGAAACTCCTCCCTTTCCTCCATGACACCCTAGACTGTAATGGCAGGGGAGTGTGCAAACTTTCTGGGATCACACCTCTCCTTTCTTCCTCCCTGATTTCACTTTTACCCTACCCATCATCTTCACAGCGCTTTGATTTCTCTACAAGGACTGTAAACAGCATTTATTTGTCTATAGTGTTTAACAAACCTTTGATTGGTTCATAATAAAAACTGATTTTGGTTTATAAAGAAGCAAGAGAATGGTACTCAACTTATGGTTTGGCTTATGACCATGGTGCCTTCATCTTACCACACAGTACAGCACCAGGTTTGACTATGTTCTCCCTCACAAGAACGCCCTAAGGGCCACACTATTCCAGAGCCTTAGTCTGTGGGTTGTGGTACTGCCTGGGGAGCCTGTGCAGCCCATGCCCTGGGAGCTTTTGGTTTCTTGGCTGACACATGATATGAGTGCTCATGATCATCCAGGAACATCCTTCAGTACTCCCCACTATGGCTTAACATGCCTACTATGTAATTTCTTCTCACAGAACAGCTGTTCAGATAATCAGTGAATTGCTTCAGATGTCTGCCATAAAGATTCATAAGTCAGGGGAGGAGCATGTATGTTGTGTACTCAAGAAGAAGACAATATCCATTCCTTCCACTTTTATGCTGGTACTGGCACATGCTAACACTCTCCATATTAACAATCAGCACCAGCCTGGTGTATGTGAAGACTTTAGTGCAATGAACTTTGCCTGAACACCTTATGGTTGCTTGTGTGACTTGCCTCCAGGCCTTCATGATAGTCTACAGTAGGATGGAGAATAAACTTTTGACGCGAGTGTGTAAGAACCTATAGTTGATTAAGTGCAGGATGGGAGGGTGGGTACCAATGATGGGTCTACTTCAGATTAGGAAACTCATCCCAGGTATGATCCCCCTGGAGGAAATGCAGATCCAGCACCCTCTGAATGGCACAGCTTACCTCCTCTTTGGGTGATGTGGTCATGGATTCGTCCACCGTTTCCTAACAGACGAGAGTCTATCAATATGCCAGTGTCACACGTACGTTGGGGGCATGGTTCTAAAGTGTTGAAAATAGCTCAGTACAGCTCTCCAGGGAGGTGGCCATACTCAACCTGAACATCTGTTACCATTGCCCATCCCCCCTGGCCTCCAGCAGTATCCACTCCCACCAGTTCCTGTAAAGCCTCTGTTCTTGCCATTGCAGGACTAGATCCCCTCGCAGAAGACACATGGGGTCAACTACTCAGAAGACTTGGATGTTGCCACACACTACTTCCTGAAAGCCTCTGCAGGATAGCGGTCAAGACTCCTAGAAGCAGGCTGGGAGTCTTGCTCTCTGGTCCCCTATAAGTGGAGCACCTAAAGAGTTTCCCCTCCCACACAGTAAGAAGCACTTCAGTTGGGAAGGTACAAAAGCACTTCAGAGAAATGCAGGATCCAAAGTGATTCACATGTAGAGTTGTCCAGATCCGACATTATTCTTTGACCTGTAGGAATGTTCTATCAAGGCAGTGAATTTTTATCAGATTTAACTAAATTAAACATGGTCACATGTTAAAATGTATTTGTTACATATCTGTTTTAGTTCTTCATCTCTGCTTTATGAGCAAGCCTGAAATTGTAAATATAGCCCATGGGAGGTTTCGTCCTTCAAAATGGTAGACTGAGTCTAAAGTTCTGGTAAGTTGCTGAGGTCATAATTACTTCATATCCAGTGACATTACACCAGTCCTAAGGAGAAGAGAGGATTTTTTTTTTCCTTCTTCCTATTTGTTATTCATTTCATCCTGCCTCGCTCTCGCTCTCTCGCGCCACCCCGCTCCCTCCCCTTGGCGGTTATTTAATCAGATCTATTGATATTATGTCTTTGCCTGCACAATAATATAACAAGACCATTAGCAGAAGTGTCTGGAGTATTATCACCTTCTCAAAAACAGGATAAATAATGATGCCAGGGATGTTATTGTATCATACATGTAATGTAGAAGTGGTCAAAAGCATGGCTGAAGTACCACAGGATCTTTCTGAAAAGATGGAAGTCCCTTAAGCAGGAGAAATGATACATCTGAAATGCATCAGCATAGAGAGTTAGTTAGATACAGAAGCTTTTCTTTTCTCTCCAGAATTATGATGGAAGGGACCACACCAAGGATTCAAGCTTTTCTTCACTTTTGTAAGGTAAAGCAATACATTTCTCTCTTTTTTCCTAATCTGACCCATATTCCAAAACTCAGAGAAGAAGAATAAATGAAATAACCTGAATATTTCATTACTCATATAGACTAATAAAAACAAAACATAACAAGAAAATGAGGCATTTTTTCTGTCTATATGGTAATATTAATCCTTCCATTTCTATTTCTTAGTGCATTAACTCCAGTAATGTGCTTCTGTGATAAACTACATTACTTGTTGGTAGTATTTCTAGGTTAGGTGTCTTTATGTTACAATAATTACTAGTTAATTCCTAGTCTACTGACCACCTTCACCCCATCTCCAGTGAAATGGCCACCTCTGTCTGAGTCTGTAACCTTCAGAAATTCCCATCTACCAAGTACACTTACTAGTTACTGAGTTGTTTTCTGTATTTTGTGGGAAAATCTTCAACCAAGGAGGACAGTCTACAAACACAAGCAAATATTTGTTGCCTCTTGAGGTAAGAGGAAGAGTCCCCAGTGGAATCAGGTTGCTTAACTTTCCAGGGGCCCAGAGGGTCTGTCTCATGAAAGACCATTTCTGCTTCATAATTTAGGATTATTTGGAATCCTGTCCAAAAAAAAAATAATAATCTTTAAGATTCTCTTTCCACTTTGGACACAAATCTCATTCACCTGCCCTCTTTTTTTCCTTCAATTATGGGTGGTCCATAGTTCCTGGCTGTGTAGCTATGGCAAGAATTCCTTTATTCTTGCCATGGGAATTACCCCAACCTTGTAATGATTTGTGCATGCTAAAGGGCTGTCATGGTTTCACTGCAAATGTTTTGGCTCAACTAGATTGTGGTGTTTCAAGGTCGCCCAGTAACGTTTCACTACTTTAGCTTGGCACTTTGTAACAGCCTACAGGTCAGTGCCTTCAGTTTATCATATGTTTTGGTTCTTTTGGGGGATTTACCTCTTGCCTGAGGGGTGAACCAGGGAGGAGGGGAGCAATGACACAGATGGCCCCATCCCCAGACCACCTGGCCATTGAAGCAGCACTACTGACAGTGCCCTGTGTGCCATGCCCATCTCTGCCTTTTACACTCGTGTGAAGAAGCAGTGCAATGACTGTTCTACACTCCGCTCTCGCAATTCTTCCTAAGCAGCTGGGGTGAATTTCAATAGAGACACATGTACATAGTTGGCATCTGAGTCCCTTACAGTTTTTAAATATCATGTATTTGTAGAGCGCAAAAGAAGTCATTTCTTTGGTCAGAGAAAATGCCCTTTCAGTTAAACTACAGTCATGATTTTTAGAGCCTGACAAATGTTTTCCCAACGCTTGCAATCAGCAGAATTTTCTAATGCAGTAACAGGGCATCTTAACAACCAAACGGAAGAAAATAATGCCATTCATCTACCTATGGAGAAGTAGCAGGGTTTTATTCTGATTCAGAATCTATTCATTATTCTTCATAGTGTACCTATTCGTTGGTCAGAAAGATTCCAGAGTCCTAAGTTCATACAATTAGCCATGATAGGAATGCATACATTTTCACTTTATAATGTAAGGATTGATCAGCATTAGTAGCTGGAGTATGTAAAGTATAAACTGAAAACACTATAAACCTTTGATTATCTTTCTTAGAACCATCTTCTAGAGTACAATGTTTGAAACAAAAAGAGGCCTGAATGGGATTACTGTTATCAGATGTGACAATTGAAACATAGATGTCCTCATTTATATTACAGTGCATGCAATATTTTCTAGGGCTGTGAGAAGCTTCAGGTGCCGATTTGATTTGGAGGAGATTCGGCCCGATTCAGCAGCCGAATCTCCGAATCTGAATCGAATTTGGAGACCAATACGAAGGTCTAAATCAATTCAAATCTCTAAAGCAATTCAGAAAAGATTCAGAGAAAGATTTAGAGATTTGGTGATTCGGGCAGACCCTGCTCACCACCACAGGGAGCTGGACCCAGGCTCTGTGCCCGTAAGTAGGGGGTGGGGGTGGGGGCTGGGGGCTGGGAGAGCAGATGAAGGATGGGGCCTGTTCGATTAGGAGATTTGTCCAATTCAGCAGCGGCCAAATCTCCAAATCAAATGACTGTCCCCCAAATCAACTGAATCTGAAACGAGTACTAGCCACTTCACACAGGCCTAAATTATTTTCCCATTTTCTTTTTTTCCAAAATCTCTTGTATAACAGAGTTTTTAAACTGAGGATTTCTGGATTACAAGAATCTATGTTTTGCCTTATGCTGTTAGGTGGTGAGCATAAAGGCTACATGAGGCAGTGTTTGGACATCCTATAAAACATTTCTGGTATGTCTATCAAAGATACTATTTCCTTTTTTTTTCTCATAATGGTATAGGTGAAGCAAAGGCTTATGTGAAGGTGAATATGCAGCACTATTCACCTCCAGAGCGGAGGACTGGAACACCTCACTGGATTAGTCCTGTTCAGTCAAGATTTGTATCCTGAAAACTCAGGAGATGGACTGATTCAATGACATTTTCAAAAGAGTCTATATTCTTCATATAATTTTGCAGAGCTGAATGGAATTTCCCTGATGCCATGGCAGATACAGAAGGAGGAAATCAAACGTCTGTCACTGAATTTATCCTCCTGGGATTTGAAATTCTTCCAGAGTTGCAAATATTTCTCTTCCTCCTGTTTCTCATACTCTACATTGCAACTGTGGCTGCGAACATCCTCATCATTGTGCTCATCATAGCTGTTCAGCAACTGCACACCCCCATGTACTTCTTCCTGGGGAATTTGTCCTGCTTGGACACCTGCTATACCTGCACCCTCCTGCCCAGGATGCTGGCCAGCTTCCTCACTGGAGACAGAACTATTTCATTCCCTGGCTGCTTCATCCAATTTTTTTTCTCTTGTATGGTGTTAGCTACAGAGTTTTGTCTCTTATCCGTGATGTCTTATGATCGGTACTTAGCCATATCCAAACCTCTGCATTATACAGCCCTTATGAGTGACACATTTTGTTTGAACCTTGCAGCTGTTTCATGGATCACTGGATTTATAGTTGTCTCCATTGTATATCTCTTCCTTTTACGATTAAAATTCTGTGGACCCAATCAAGTTGACCATTTCTTTTGTGAATATGCTGCACTGATTAAACTCTCCTGCAGTGACACCTATGAGATTGAAATTGTTGTTTTCAGTTTGGGCTGTGTGTTCCTCTTTCCCCCGTTCCTTTTGACTCTCATGTCCTATGTTTTCATTATCACCACCATACTGAGAATCCCTTCTACTACCGGGAGACAAAAGGCCTTTTCTACCTGTTCCTCGCATATTATTGTAGTGACCATTTTCTACGGGACCCTAGCCACTGTGTATATGTGTCCACAAACCAAGTCCCTTAGAGCCCTGAACAAAATATTCTCTCTTTCCTACACTGTGCTAACTCCATTGGCCAACCCTCTCATTTACAGCCTGAGAAACAAGGAAGTAAAGGCAGCTGTAAAGAAAGTTGTCTCTGTGTTTATGAACTGGAAAAGAATAGAACCATTTCTAAACTCCATTAGCGGGTAAAAGGAAAATGGAAATAATAGGAATCAGAGCTGGGGAAAATGAATGGCTCCTGGCCCTGCTTTTTGGAGAATCCTAAAAAAATGGGAAATATATATATATTTCAGACCCTGTTCTAAAATGAGTTGACCTGATGTCATAGTGTTATAATTTCAACATTTTTCTAAACAAGAATAGTGAATACATTTTATTGTATGAGCATGCTTCGCTTCAAGCCTGTATACAACCATTTTCCTCAACCTAAGGCTCTCTGCCCTTAGGCCCGAATCCAACTCTTCCGTTAGGTTGTAGACTGTGGATGTGTGCATTGGCAGTTACCAGGGAGTGACTGATGTGTTAAAAACCTAACCTCTTTTACACCTTGTTTGCACACTTGTATCCTAACCCTCATACAGTTTAGTTTGTCCATAAAAATATGCAGACACTTGAACAGAGCTTACAAGAAGCTTACTCCGTCTCTCTCTCTCTGTGATTTGTAAAAATTTTTCATGTAATTCACCTCTGAAACTGTGTCAATTTTCATTATGCCCTGATGAATGAGTGTCAGAATTACTAGAACGACGGCTTTGGGTATAAACTATGACTAGCAGGGAATGTGTACCTGATGTAACTACTGTTCCATGACTTACATGCTAGTATTAGATTTTTTTTTGGAGTGAATGAATATTTTCTTCCCTGCCTGAATATGGGATTGATACTGCTGAACTAAAGGGGGAATTTAAGAACCTGAATGATCTAATATTGTGTTCCGCTAATCCTAGGGAAACTGGTAATATTGAAAATCCCTATCAATTTTAAATTGGGAAGATGTCTTAGGCAGGCATGGTGAATCTCCTCTGTGATATTTGCTTGCTGCTTATAACCTTTACTAATAAATTTATACTTAGATTTTAACCCAACTCTATGACTTTTTCACCTGACTGCTATTTGGTTTTAACCACATCACCAGTGGGACCGAGCTGGAGAAATTCCAGGGGGTGGGGCAGCTCACTTTTTCCTTTGTCCAGGAGCAGGCAGTTTTGGGGAAGCAGGGGAGTCATTGTGTGGACACAGACAAGCTTCGACCTCTGGAGGGACGCTCCAGATGAGTACATTCAGTCCTCAACCTACAACGTTTTGAGTTACAACGTTTTGCACTTACAACATTTATAAATTGCCACCCTGATTCAACTTTATGACGTCAGGTTCAGCTTTACAACACTTGATCTGATGCAATGCCACACCAACAAACAAGTTCACTGCATTGCTCATCTCCCTGGAGAACATCTGTCCAAACTTCCTTGGACACTTTCTTTAAGAAAGAAGACAAGACTGTAGAAAAACCTGCAAACAAGACTCCTGAGAAGACTCCAGCCAAGAACCCTTCAAAAAGTCCAACCAAGAGACTTTCACAAGTCCAGCAAACTCACCTCAGAGAAGTGCTTCCAAATCAATATGATTGCTATTTACAATATAAATACATTGATGTAGCTATATTATTTGTCTATAATTGATTAAGTACAAAATTCTGGGGTATTTTCAGTGAAAATAGGGTATCGGGCCTTGGTTCAGGAATCGATCCCCCCATTTATAACATTGTTTCTTATGAGAAAATTGGTTCTGAGTTACAAAGTTTCGACTTAAGACACGGTTTTCAGGAACCAATTTTGTCGTAAGTCTGAGGACTGCCTGTATACTGTAAGTAGATATGGAAACTTAGCCTGCATATTAGGGTTAAGTGAACTTTTGCCATGTTTTAAAAGAGTAATGTAATTCAATATTGAACAAGACTCAATGTACTGAATGAGACGCAATTTATTCTATATTGCTCAAGGT